CCTTATTTTCAATAGATACCCCTTCTATATGCTTTCCTGCATTGACATGGATTGGAAGGTGCTCACATGGCTTCGTTACACTGTGTGGATTCCCATATACCCTCTGGGATGTTTGGCAGAAGGTATTTTCAGGAACTCTTGGTCTCATAGCTTAGCTCCAAGGGGATTCCGTGGTTAAGAGATCAGTCCTTTCTTCCTACCTCTGCCAGCCTTAATCTGATAAATGAGATGTTGGACTTTACAGTGATTTTTGTTCTTGTGACTTCCTGCCATAGTCTCCCTGGTACCCAGACCATTCCAAGACTGTAGCTCATTTTATAAGGTTTGGAAGCTAGCTAACCATGTGCTGCATGCTTCACATTTATATATTTTAAATTTCCTTTAACAGGTTCTTATTAATGACTTCATTTTATTCTGATCAACCCCTAGTGAGTGTCAGGTAGGGGTTTTTCTCCATTTCATAGGCTGGGAAACAGAGGCCCAGGGCCATGACTGTTCTCATTCATCTTTCTATTAATGGCTTGGAGGCTTATTTCAGGAAAACTTGGGGTCCAGGAGGAGAGCAGCAAGTGCTTTCTGTACAGCTGGCGTGGGGAGCATTTCCAACAACTCAGAATGAAACGTGAGGGCTAACGCTAGAGGGGTCTGTCATGAGATGTCCCTGTACTGGATGTCATTTGCTTCTAACAAGCTCTTGTTTCTGTTTTCAGCGGTTTCAGTGATCCAGTCCATTCCAATATTCAATGAAACAGGAAGATTCAGTTTTACATTGCCATATCCTGTGAAAATCAAAGTTAGATTTTCCTTTTTTCTTCAGATTTATCTTATAATGTTATTTTTAGGTAAGTATTGGCTCTGTAATACAGACCTTTTCCTGTCACTTTTTAGAGGGTAGAGTGAAATGATTCAGAGTTTAAAAGTCCTTATTTGAATTCTGTTTTTGAGAGAATAACAATAGAGTTAAGAGATTTATTTTGCAAAAACAGACCCATTAAGGGACTTTGGGTGGGTATCCCAGTGATAGAGCAGGTGCTTTGCATGTGTAAGGCTCTGGATTTGATCCCTAGCACCACAGACAGAACAAACTAAGAAACAAAAACACACCCACCAGGAAATATCTCTTCCCAAGTCTCTTGAGTATTTGAATTCCTTTTTTTCTTTTTTAAGTTGTAGATGGACAAATACCTTTATTTCATTTGTTTATTTTTATGTAGTGCCAGGGATTGAACCCAGTGCCTCACACATGCTAGGCAAGCGCTCTACCACTGAGCCACAACTAAAAAAAAAAAAAATAGAGTAGGAGCTGGGTGGTGGTGTAACCCCTTGGTCCTAATTGTACAAGAGGCTGATGCAAGAGGATTGCTTTAACCCAGGAGCCTTGAACTTGTAGCAAGACCACATCTCATAATAAAAAAATTTAAAAGTAAATAAATATAATAAAATGCCATAGGAAACAGATCTTTATACTTTCCTAGTTTCAGTAGCACATTCCTCATCCAGCCTCCCCAGCTTCTCTAAGAAGCAGTAGTGCAGTTGGCAGGAGGGAAGGAAAAAGGCAGCGAAGGCTTCCTGCCACCAGAGGGCTGTTACAGAGCCTCTAGCTCACAGTAGGAACACCCTCACCTCCCCCGACCACACAAAACCTGCTTGCTTACTAGTTTACCTGTATATAAAATTACAAATTCCTGCTGCCTTAATTCATAAAAACTAAGAACTAAAGGGGAAAGAAAGTACATCTGAATTATTACAAACATGAAAGCCTTCCTGGGGTTGTAACTAGCTCACTGGTAGAACGTGCTTAGCATGTGTATGTTATACTGATCTTCTTTCGATTTTTGTGGACCACTCTCACACCTTTTTCTTTAAAATAAAGCATTTTTAACCCTATTGTACGAATGAGGAAACTAAGGTGAGACTAAGCTATGGGATCTACTCGGTGATTAAGTGGGATTAAAATTTCTGACTTAATTCTTTCCCAATTCATGGAAATGTGCTTCCTAGAAAAGCATTTCCATAGTTTCATTGTATTGCATTGTATTTATTTTTTTTGAGATGGTTTTGCTGTTTTTTAAGCTGGTCTCAAACTTGTGGGCTCAAGTGATTCTCCTATCTCAGCCTCTTGAGCAGCTGGGACTACAGATGTGTGCCACCATGCCTAGCTTGTCTCATATTTCTTCAGACTATTGCTTAAAACTTGTTCTTGAGGTTGTCTTGAATTTTAAAACAGGTTATTTCTATACTTCTGGTTTGTGCATTTCATTGTATGCAAAAGGGAATAAAAAATAAATATTGGTTGGTTGCAGTGGCCCATGCTTATAATCTCAGTTTGGGAGATTGAGGCACAAGTATCATAAGTTGAAAGCCAGGCTCAGCAACTTAGTGAGACCCTGTCTCAAAATAAAAAGGGCTGGGCCAGTGGCATTCCTGGGTTCAATCCCCAGTATCAAAAAAGAAAAGAAATATTGAACTATACTTTAAGAACCGTTTATGGGTAGTGTGCTGTCTGCATCTAGCATTGAAATGCCTCAAAAATGAGATAGATGGTCGGATGAGTAGGAATGTACGTGATAAAGTAAAAAGTTAAATGCAGATGTTGTTCACTCTACATAGATTTTGTTTGCTTGAAATTGTCTTAATAAAACGTGGGAAGAGATTAAGTTTTAAACCCCTGGGGAAGAGTTGTGCATTGTTACTGATGGTTCTAAGTTGTACTTCCTGAACAGCCTCAATAAACTTAGTGCTGTAGAATATGAAGAACAGACAGTTGTGTAGTGGTACATGCCTATAATCCCAGTCTCAGGAGACTGAGCCAGGGGGCTTGAGAGTCCAAGGCCAGCCTTAGCAACTTAGAGACACCATGTCTCAAAATTAAAAATAAAGACTGGGAAGTTAGCTCAGTGGTAAAGCACCCCTTAGATCAATTCCCAGTACCACCAAAAACAAAAGAAAGAAAAAAAAAAAAGAATATAGAGTGTGCTCACCCCAAGAGTTTCTGGTTATAATAGATGGAAGATGAACATATTCATTTCTTTTTTCTTTTTTAGGATTATACATAAATTTTCGTCACCTTTATAAACAGCGCAGGCGGCGCTATGGACAAAAAAAGAAAAAGATCCACTAAAAAGAGAGATTTAGATGGTTTCTTGCCAGTTTGAGCCTAATCTATGATTCTTACAGTTTTACCTTCTTGTACTGATGTAAACATTTTTTTTTTAAAGTTAAAAAATTCTCAGTGAGGCTATCTTTCTTTCCCCAGTAACATTCCTGAATTTACTATATTATCTTCATGTAATACTTGCATGACATGGATTCCTGGTATCTGACAACAGGTTCATTCTTGTGTATTCAGTAATGACACAAAAGGCTCAGCCCCACCCCACTTCATATCGTCGGGTTCTTACATGCCAGAGATATTGTTTCAGTGCTCTATACCTATAAGGTACCCAAGGGGTTACTTGTGTAGTGGATGGCATTGACTTTTTGAAAGTCAATTAGTCTTGGTCATTGATAAAACATTTCTGAGTCAGATGGGGCTGGAGCACATTTTACACCTGACATTTTTGGCCTAGCATCATCTATTACTATAGTGCTTACCTGTGTGGGCATTGAAGGGGCAGAGTGATTTTGGAGAAACAGGGACCTTGGAACACCCATGATTATTTATTTATTTCTAGGTAAATCAGAAATGTTTTCAACACTAAAGAGGGACATTATAAGTGTTGTAAACTCAATGGCTTCAGGGATCAGAAGGGAACACAAATATGTGGGCCAGTTGTCGGTGATACAGTTGCTGGCAATATAGTCTTTGGCAAACTAAAACATTAAAGTAGGCCAAACATGCCTACCCAACTTTTGAACTGCAAACATAAAAGTCAGCCTTTGTTCCCCTGTACTGCCTGAGTCCATTTAGTTGTTTCTCTGAGTGAGGGGTGAGGCTATACATTTTTGAACCTCACAAACACCTTTTTTCTGCTATTGTTAAGATTGCCTTTTTTACCTGTCTGCAGTAGGACACTGAAAACAGAGGGTGGGAACTTTAGCTGGGGAATGACCAGCTGATCCTTTAATAAGGATTCCTGCAGGAAACCCACCAAAAGGGAAAGGGAAATTGAAAAAAGTTTAGAATGGTTGGCCATTGTAAAAAAAACATCGGTTTCCTCTAACACATTCCACATAAACCAAGTAAATAAGTGTTAGAAGTAACACTTGTGTAAAACAATTTAAGCACGGTAGCGCTTTGTGTTCTGCCACTCCCGTTGTTCTTCGGGGAAGGGAGACTGGATTAGTTAATGCTATTTCACTGAGCCCAAGGTGGAAACTTGAGTTGACCTAAAGCATCTGATTACCATAAGTGGGCTGATTTTTAAAAAACTCATTGCACTGAAGGGTATTTTGCATGTCTGTAACTTCTGTCAACACTTGTTTGTATTGACTTCTGATATTCCTTCAACTGTGTAAATGGGCAGATCAGCTTTGCAGTAGATTATGCTGCATTCTTGTGGCAAAATCCTGTATCCTTAGTGATAGGAACCCTTTTATTGCTGTTTGAGAAAGTGAAAGATTGTGTATTTCTATTAAAAACATTTACAATCAAAATCCTAGTGTTGTGTCTAATGGTTTTCAAACTGTTCAAGTCTTTTGTTCAGGCAAAATATCATACAGTAGTTCAGCATGCTAAACCAAAGATAGTGGCTTGGTTGAAGCCTGAGGGCATTCTTCCAGAACAGCTGGAAAAGTGTTGCTGATGTAAATGAAACCTCCAGAAATTGCAGGACTTGCCTAAGTTCATGAAACTAGCTGGTGGGTTAGGAGCCTGACCCTGAAATAATGGTCTGTCACGACCTTAGGCAACCAAGTGTGTCAGACAGACATAATGAAGTCAGTACAGATCACAAGGAATCGTCACGTTTATGAATTTGTGCCCCTTAGGAAGCTGAATTATATTCAAGTGATAAGACAGACGAAAAAGCAAAGGACCATTAGTTTCCTCAGTAAAACTATTTTATAGAAAATCAAATATTTTATTTTTATTAAAAAAGAAAAGCTTGAAGAGACGGGAATCATTTTACACATGTGATTGCTGTTTAAAAGTTAGTATCTCAAGATACACCAAAAGCACCTAAGGGTTACCACCATGTTTTACCAAGTTCTAAGGAAAGTTCTGGAACATAGTGGAGTTGGGTTTGGACTCAACAAGTCCCAGGCAGTCTGGGTTGCTCATCCCAAAGACAGAAGCTTGAAAATATCCTAATGGTTGAGACAAACCTGGAGATGATGCTTCTGGAAGCCAGAGAACTGCACCCTTGCCAGTCAAGTTTCCTGGGGAAGGCGGGGTAGCTCCATGCTCATAGTCTTTCAAGCTTCTCAAGAGATTTGCCCCTCAGGGAGCAACAGCCGTCTAGGTCCAGGAAGCACCAGCTAATCACCCTCAGATCCTTCTTAGACTATCGAAGTCATTTAAACCAGTAAGTGGTGTTCTGAGCCAGCCTCAGGAAGGTTTATGAGTGGTTGTTCCAGGTGAACATACTGGAAAAGCTTTGGCTCTAAATCATTTTCAGTTAAAATGGAAAAAAAAAAAAAAAAAGGTTCCAAAAGCCAGTTTCACATTCTTTCAGTACTGCTCCCGGAGAAGTCTGTATGCAAAGGTGTGATGTTGTGATCATAAGCAGCATACTCTGAGGTGCCAGTGCTGGCCAGCTGGAGCTGCTGGGCAGCATGGGTCAGCTGGAATGCGGCATCAGGGTGGGCAGTGTCGGGCAGCAGCGTGCACTCCCTTTCCAGCATGTCAGCCACCCCTTTGAGCAGGTCCAGGAAACCAAAGGCCAGGGCAGCTTTTCGTAAACGGTTCAGCTCCTGAACAAGAATAAATACCAACGTTCCTGAAATGTGCTCTTGTCACATACCTTCTGAGTACCTGGCTTAGAACAAATTTTCCTCAACTCTTAGAGACCATTTTTATGTGAGGACAAATTTTTATACAGAGAAGGCAGTAATGAGAGTGATGATGTAACTGGCAAACGGTTCCTCTATAGGTGACCAGCAGCTAGATAAGAAGACTGAGGTGACAAACAGGTTGTCATCCTCATCATAGTTAAGTAAGCAGTTATGTTAAACATGGAGGTGACCACTTTGCATACCTAATCTATCTACAAATAATTATAAGGAGGGTCACCTTTCCTCTGTTATGTGGGTATGAAAAAAGGCTTCAAATCTCGGAAAGCTCTTAACCATCTGGTTCCTCTGTCGTGGATTCAAGAGAAAGAGAACATGTTTAGAGCAATCAGCCAGAAAGACTGTCCCTCCTTAAAAAGAAAGAAAGAAAAAAAAAAAGGTGGGTAGTGGATGGAAGCAGAGAAATATGAAGTGTCCCATCAACCACTTAGTGTGATCTGGGCAAGCCATGTAGCCCCTTTGGGTCTCAGAGGTTTTGTTTTCAAAGTAAGGATAACCCCTTCCTTGTCCATTGCAGGCACAGAAGCCAGAGGCTTCTAGCTCTCTTGTAGGGTTATTTACATGAACCCAGAAAAGAAACAGGCTCTCTGACCACCTCTCTACTAACATCTATTAAAAGGTGAAAAGTTCAGAAAGTCACAATACAAGTGTACCATGTTTAACAGAAAGGTTCCAGTTCTGTAGAAAACTGCAGAGATTCAGGGACTGCAGCTGAGGGGGGGGTTTATGGGCTTCAAGTGGGGAGGGAATGAGGTGGCTAGGAAGCTCTCTGGTTGAACTCTGATTAAAGCTGCAAATTTTACTTAATTTCATCAGCTTGCTACATATTAGGTTTGAAGACAACAGTGAATAAAGGTAATGACATAACACCAGACAAAATGGTACATTCTCCAGAAGAGATGCTAGCCTGAGGGTGGCTGTGTGTGCCATATTTTAAGATTAGCAAGGTAGGACACATCTGACGCTGCACTTAATCCAAGTGTTCAGTCGAACACAGGATGGACAGGAGAAATGGAGTAAGCTCCTGACTCTACCCCCTCCCTTGTAACTTTAGTCTCTCAACCACTGGTTCTAGACTAGCTAGGCTCGATGAGGAACGACCACTTTGCAATTCATAAGTGTGTGATTTTAAAAGTCATTTCTGGAAGCAGTTTCTCTAGTGCGGTAAGAATGTTCTGGGCAATTTCACATCCCAGGAAGTCACATACACTGCTTAGGTTGGACTAGATACCCACACAGGAGTGATCATGAGGATGCAGGTCCTTTTAGCTGCCTCCCTCAGCCATTCACAGCAGCACTAACCTGGAGAAACCCTCCTGAACAGAGCCTATGTAGAGCTGGACCATCTAAACACTCCCAATTCTTTGATTATAAGGCAAGAGCAGACCTATCACTTCTGCTGACTAATGATGAGAAAACAGGCACAAGTCATTCATTTATAATCGTTGCCCATATCCATGCTGCTACCCAACAGTCTTTATTTTGGAGGTGGGATGGGGAAGGTGGTACTAGGAATCAAATTTAGTGCCCTAGCACATGTGAGGCAAGTGCTCTACCACTGAGCTCCATCCCTAGGCCCCTACCTCAGACTCTTGCTACGTGAACCATTTCTCTTGGGCACATCCCCAGGCATATCCTCTTCTAATGTAATTTTGGTCATCTCACCTTATAGAATGTCTGTGTTTTTTCAGGTAGTTTCCTTGCATTTCTTAAAATCTTCTGTACATCTGTCTATTAAAGGTAAAAAGAATTCCAATGTTAGAATTCTCTGGTAAAAATGGAAAGAATACAAAAATATGGCTCTAAATGTTTCAAGAAATGAACAGGATAACAGTTATAGTGTCAAAGATTCCTTCTGTTTAATGTCAGTGTTCTGGTTCAACATTAGTAAAGCACCTTTCTCCTTCAAAAGATTTGATGATCGTAAAAGAAATCAATCTGTCCCACAGAAAAATATCCAGTACAACCATATACCCACAACTAGCTGCTTTTTTATAGGATGCCAGGATCATTTAATGGTGGAAGAATCTTCAATAACTGGTATTGGAACAACTGGATAGCCACATGCAATAGAGTGACATTGGACTGTTAACTCATACCATATAAAAAAATTGACTCAAAATTGATCAGAGACCTAAATGTAAGAGCTAAAACGATAAAAAATTTTGGAAGGAGACATAGGTAAATTTTTAAAAATATTTATTTTTTAGTTATAATTGGACACAATACCTTTATTTCACTTATTTATTCTTATATGGTGCTGAGGATCCAACCCAGGGTCTCACATGTGCGAGGCAATCGCTCTACCTCTGAGCCACAACCCAGCCCCCATAGGCAAATTTTCATAGCCTTAGATTTGGCAATGATCTCTTAGTTATGACAACAAAAAGCACAATTAAGCAACAAAAGCAAAAAAGTGGAGAAATCTGATTTAATCAAAACAAATTTACTTTAGTGCATCAAAGGACACTATCAAGAGTATGAAAGACAATCTACAGAATGGGAGAAAATATTTGTAAACTATTTAGTTGCTAAGGGTTTATTATTCAGAATACATAAACTCAACAAAAAGATAAGCCAGATGGGGTGGTGCATGCCTATAAACCCAGCAACTCAGGAGGCTGAGGTGGGAGGATCACAAGTTTGAGGCTAGCCTCAAAAACTTAGTGATACCCTGTCTAAAAATTTAAAAAGGTGTTTGGGGATGTAGCTTATTGGTAAAGTGCCTCTGGGTTCAATCTTTAGTATCAAAATGGAAAGAAAAAACTTAATTAAAAAATGGAAAAACAACTTGAGCAGATAATTCTCTAAAAAAGATACATAAATAACCAATAAGCACATGAAAAGATACACAATATCTTACATTAGGAAAATAAAATTAAAACCACAATGATATATAACACTTCATAGGATGGCTATCAAAAAGGAAAAGGAAAAAATGGAAAATAAAAAAATATCGATGAGCATGTGGAAAAACTGAAACACTTATAACATTGTTGTTAAGAATGTAAATGGTGTGATTACTATGAAAGTCTGGCAGCTTCTCAATACACTCAACCTAGAATTCCATATGACCTGATTCCTAAGCTTATACCTAAAGTACTGAAAACAGGTGTTCAAACAAAAACTTGTACTTGAAAATAAAAGGATTATTCCTAATAGCCTAAAGGTAGATACAACTCCCATACCCATCAACTGAATGGATGAAAAAATGTGGCATAGTTATGCAATGGAATATCCATTCAACCATAGAAAGAAAAAAAAAATACTGACTGACACATGCTACAACATGTATGAATCCTGAAAACATTATTGCCAGTGAAAGAAGCCAAATACAAAAGGCCACAAATTGTATTGTTCCCTCCCTTCCTTTATTTATACAGTGCAGGGGAATCAAACCCACTCATGCTAGGCAAGTGCTCTACCCCTGAGCTACACCCTTAGCCTGTATTATTCCATTTCTAAGAAATATCTAGAATAGTCAAATCCATAGAGACAAAGAGCAGATTAGCGGCTGCCATGGTCTGGGAGTTAATGTAGAGTGACTTACTATAGGGTTTCCTTTTGGAATGATTAAAAAGTTCAGGAACTACAAGTGGTGAGGGGTGCACAGCATTGTGAATACACTAAATGTTACGAAACTGTACACTTTAGGGTTGAAGTGGAATATTTTACATTGTGTATATTTTACTATAATAAAAAATAAACCAGGGCTGGGTCTGGGGCTCAGTAGTAGCGCACTTACCTGGCACATGTGAGGCACTGGGTTTGATTCTCAGTACCACATACAAATAAATAAAGGTCTATCAACAACTAAAAAGATATTTTAAAAAAAAATAAAATAAACCAGTTGGGGTTGTGGCTCAGTGGTAGAGCGCCTGCCCTGCATGTGTGAGGCACTGGGCTCGATCCTCAGCACCACATAATAAATAAATATATTGTGGCCGTCTACAACAAAAAATGATAATAATAATAATAAAAAAACAAACCAAGTACCAAAACAAAATTTAAATAATTTATAAAAATTCAGCTGGGGCTGTGGCTCAGTGGTAGAGTACTTGCTGGTCACCTGTGAGGTACTGGGTTCACTCCTTAGCACTACACATAAATAAAATAAAGGTATTGTGTCCATCTATTTACACACACACACACACACACACACACACACATATGTATATATGAAATTCAGCCATAACTGGTGGTAAAAATGGTTCCTCTGATCCTCTGACAAGGAAGTGCTAAGGTCAGGGATGGAAGAAGGAGGCAGACTTATTTTCCAATTAAGAGAAGAGGCCCCTGACTTCTTAGCCCAGGGAGAACATAGTTCAGCTGCCATGGAAAAGAGGCTCAAAGAGACTCTGCAGTCAAGGGGAGCTATGCTTGTTGTCGGGAGGCCTGATTGCCTCTTCTCTTGGCTTAGACTCAACTCATCAGAGGAAGAAATGTAAAGAGGTGCTCAAAGAAGAACCTGTTTATCTTAGCTTCCTATGGAAGTATTTTTGTGGAACTACAATGTAACGTCTTGGCTTGGGTTCTATTGTAGAAGTGAAAGTAATAGCCATAAAGATGCTAATTTTTTGTTTCAAAGCTATTGTTAAAGACAACACTGGTTATATTATTCAATGCCTCACTATGTGAAAAATTTTACATTAATATCCAATGCCAGGAAAATATGTCTCTTGGGAAGAACTGACACGCTTCTTTTTTTTTTTTAATCAGACAAAGAAAACCATAAAACCCACATTTCTTTTTTGACGCTGGTTAGAAGGAAGCTCAAAGCTAAACTGCTCAAATACAATTAACATTTTGCCTTGGAGTTCCAGGCACAATTGGTTCTGATCTTCCTCTAGGTTTCTTATTGCTCTAAATTTGTAAAAAATGATTTTGCTATATCCATGTTTTACTGTAGGCCATCTCAAATTCTTTTTGGAAATAATGACAACATTAGAAGTAAATGAATTATGAAGTATCAAAGGAAATGAAAATCAAATCAAATGTCTGCCTGCCTGCTGCCCAAACACCTCCTCCTGTCCCCAGTGAAAAGCAAAGTAAATGGTAACTGTACCTGCAGGCCGCTGGGTTTGATCCAAACAGTCACGTTCTGGGCATAACTGCGTTTGTTTTTGGGCTGCAGGGGGAATGGACTCTTATTGTCATCCTCACCATAAGGGTTTTCTTTAGCATCTTAAAGAAAAAGACATTCTTGAAATGACATCTGGCAAAACACAATCAATTACATTTCCAATTAGGCTAGCAGCTCTTTGAAAAACTCAATCTGCTATATCCTATTACTTCCATTAACTTCAGTCAGGATGGAGAACCTGTTCTTAGAAGGAAGCCACTGATGTAGGAGACCAAACAACCAATGGAGGCCTATGAAAGTGAAAAACAAGCTTAATGTCTTTAAAAAAACATGCTTACCTGCTTCATAAATTAAGGCGGCCTATGTATGCACACTACAGCGCTCTACATTCTAGCCCAGCACTCTCCTGTGATATTGGAAAGGAACTGTGCCTGTGCCGTCTAAAATTGTAGCCACTAGCTACTGAGCATTCTATAACATACGGAACTGAATTTTATTCTTTTTTTGTTTTTTTTTCATGGTACTTGGGTTGAACCCAAGAGCATTCTACTACTGAGCTACATCCCCAGCGCACCCCCCCCTTTTTTTTTAAATCTTGAGACAGGGTCTTGCTAAATTACCCAGGCTAGTCTCAAACTTATGATCTTCCTGCCTCAGCCTCCCAAGTAGCTGGGATTACAGGCAAGCGCCAAAGTGCCTGGTTAAAGCTTATTTAATTTTAATTAAATTTAAAGAGCCTCATGTGGCTAGTTGCTACTGGATTAGACAGTCTAGGTCTACACATAAAAAATAATTAAAAAGGGAAATTATACACAGACAAATTAAGGAAAAGAACAAGGGAAGAAACACTTTTACTAGTGAAGAGCACTCAAAGATTTAAAGCCATGGTAGTTTTACAGCTATGCAGATGAGCAGAGTTTTTGTTTTTTGCACCTGCTTCTCAATTCAAGGACATTCTATCACAAATCTGCAAAGTACACTTAAACGTAACTGTTCCTTATTATTACTACAGTCTGGGACAGAGTAGGAATCACTCTTAGCAATTCAGGAGCTTAAGTCCTTTGCCCAAATATTCATTTTGAAACAGGAATAAGATCCATTTCTCTGAGCCAGATATTCTCTAACCCTGATTTGGTCACTAATCAAAACACCTTAATACTGGCCTCAAATTGCTTGTTAACCCTTCCTACTTCTCCAAAAATTATTGTCCAAACACTCCAACATATTTCCATTAATACTTATCAATATATAAACCATTTTTGGTCAAGCTGAGATCCTATGGGTACTGTCCTACAAGGCATATTTATCTCCAATTTCCCTGCCATTATTTCTGTTATTCCTCTTGTCCGGAATATGCTCCCATTCACATTCATTTATTTATTCACTCATTCATTCATTATCTATAGTAAGATCCTAGTATACAGCAAACAGTGTTCTAGGAATTGTACCTAGAGAATATAGTTTTCTGGTGCAAGGAACACACAGAATAAAGAATCTTTATTAAATTCCAGCCATATACCAGATATTTTACATATACAGCTTATATTCATGCAGCAGTCCTAGAAGGTAGACATTATTAGTTCCTTTAAAGATGAGGAAAGTAAGCTTCAGAGAGGCTGAACTAACACAGGTTTGATAGTGACTCAGCGGCCTTGGTTCCAAGGTTGACACTTTTCCCACACTCAACACTGCTGTTCCTTACTTGTCCACTTACCCATCTATATCCCAGGTCCAGATCTTAGCCTACTCCCTCCATGAAGCTGTCCCAGGTTTTTCTGGCAGAAAGTGGTTTTTTTAGATCCTATTATTCTATAGCATTCAGTAATTAGTATCAAATATCCCAGGATCTAGTCGTAGCCTATCCTGAATTTTGTTTGAAGCCTATATATGGTAACTGCATTAGCAGACAGGAAATACTACATTTGTGAAAAATGAATAAGAGACTCTTAGAAATAAGATAGAAATAAAAAAACAAATGCATGGTGAAGATGAAGACACCTCACAGAAGGCAGAGAAAAATGGGTGGAAAAGACAGAAAATTATACACCCCGACCCCTGCCACAAATAATATGCTCCTGAAAGGGAGAACAGGGAATATAAAGATAGGAAAATCAAATAGATAATTTGTGTGCTCTTTACTGAAGAACAGAAGTGCCAGACATAAAAGGTTCATTGTGCTCACACAGCAAAATGAATGCAGACACCAACAACTATGAAAATCATTCTAAAAATTCAAAATATCAGAGATACAAAGAAGATCTTCAAGGAGTACAGACAAGATACAGCTCAAGGTCAAAGGCCTGGGAGTCAGCATGGTACTAGCCTCTTAATAACACTGGAAGCTAGAAAAGGCAACAGCGTGATGCTTCACACAGAGAGAAAACATTTTCCATCTTAAAACTCATTCAACCAATCAATGAAGTGCAAAGGATGGAATAAAGGAGTCATTTCCAAAATAGAAGATCTCAAAAAACATTTATTTCCCATGCACCCCTTTCTCAGTAGGAGTCATGCAAGGAGATTCATGGAGAGATGTGAAGGAAAGGCTCAGGACGACATATGGGCAACAAGTCTTAAAAAAGCCAAAAATAACATCTAAAAAATATATATAAAAAAGATCAAGAACTAGCTATATACTTACATTATTTAGTAGTGTAAATAAACATCAAGAGAGAGCCAGATATGGTGGCGAATGCCTGCAATCCCAGCAGCTCAGGAGACTGAGACAGGAGGATCACAAGTTCAAAGCCAGCCTCAGCAACTTAGTGAGGCTCTAAGCAACTTTGTGAGACCCTGTCTCAAAATAAAAAATTAAAAGGGCTGAGATGTAGCTCAGTGGTTGAGGACTTCTAGGTTTAATCCCTGGTATCAAAAAATGTTTGAATTTTACTATAAGAACAGAATTAGGAGTAGGAGGGACTAGTAGTACTGTTTTGCATGTTCTGCTTTGAAAAACACAAATACAGTAATATCCACCATTATGAGTCTATTGTATATGTATTTTACATATAGTCCCTTGATAAATGCTCTTAACAGCCCTCTAAGGTAGATCTTATTCATTATTATTTGTTATCATAATGTCACTCCCAACTTCTTAAGATTCTAGTGAAAATTAAATGAGTGTCTAGCACAGTGCATGGCATGAAGTTCAATAAAATGTTAGTTATTATTACTATTTTAAATATTTGTTTTTTTAGTTGTAGTTGGACACAATAGCTTTGTTTTATTTATTTATTTTTATGTGGTACTGTGGATTGAACCCAGGGCCTTGCACGCGTTAGGCAAGCGCTCTACTGCTGAGCCACAATCCCAGCCCAAAATATTAGTTATTATTATCCCCATTGAAAAGAAGAAAAGACCCAAAGAAGGAAAGCTGTTATCTTAAATTATGGATAAACATTCATTGGTGGAAACTATCACAAAAGTCTAGGTCAGGGGTTGGTTAATATTTTCTGTAAAAGAACAGACAACAAATATTTCAGACTTTATAAGTCATGTGGCCTCTGACATACTCAACTCTGCCACTGTAGCAGGAAGGCAACCATAGAAAATATGTTAATGAATGAGTATGAATGTTTCAGTAAAACTTTATTTAAAAAAATAGACAATGGCCAATTTGGTCAGTAGGCTAAAGATAATTAACTTTTAATTTTAAATGAAAGGTAAAGCCAAAACAAGCTAAGAACAATAATGAAAGACAGAATGAACGTAGGAATGCTACAGAGTCAAGATGAAGGACATAAGAAACTCCTGTCTACAGACACTCATGCACATACACACACACACAACTTCCTCTACCATGTATTCTGTGTTCTCCAATTATGGCCCTATTTCCTACTTATTTTGAGCCATCAATGTCCTCTTTGTTCTTCTGGGTTTCTATTCCTCTTAAACTTTACTTTTTATTATTATTTTTACTTTTTTGTGGTGCTGAGGATTGACCTTGTGCGTGTGAGACAAGCACTCTACCACAAAGCTACATCCCCAGACTCTCCAGCTTTAAAAACTTCAGTCTTGGATCACAAATCAAGGATTGAACTGTTGCCTGTCTTCTGAGTTAAGCATGGTTTTTAGCTGGATGTGGTAGCACACCCTGTAATCCCTGTAACTCATGAGGCTGAGTCAAGAGGATCACAAGTTCAAGGCCAGCCTCATCAACTTTGTGACACCCTCAGCAACGTATCTCAAAATAAAAAATGAAAAGAACTGGGGGTGTGACTCAGTGGTAGAGTCCCTGGGTTCAATCCCTAATACCAAAAGAAGAATGGTTTTTAGTTCGGCATTGTGGTGCAAATCTTTAGTCCCAGCAGCTTGGGAGGTTGAGACAGAACTTCTGGAGTCCAGGAGTTTGAGACATGCCTGGGCAACATAGCGAGACTCAATCTAAATGACATATATAGAGTATATTATCCATCAACGAGAGAATATACTTTCTTCTCAGCAGCACATGCATCCTTCTCTAAAATAGACCATATATTATGCCACAAAACAAATCTTAGTAAATACAAAAAAGTAGAGATACTACTGTATTCTATCAGACCACAATGCAATGAAATTAGAAATCAATGATAAAATAAAAAATAAAAGATACCCCAACACCTGAATGAACAATGGGTTGCAAAAGATATCAAGGAGGAGATTAAAAAATTCTCAGAGGTAAATGAGAACACCAATACAATATATGCAAATCTCTGGGACACTATGAAGGCAGTTCTAAGAAGAAAGTTCATTGCATGGAGTTCATTCCTTCAAAGAAGAAAAAGTCAACAAATAAATGACCTAATGTTACATTGTGACTCAAAGCCCTAGAAAAAGAACAACATATCAACCCCGAAAGCAGTAGAAGACAGGAAATAATTAAAATCAGAGCTGAAATCTATCAAATTGAGATAAAAGAAACAACCTAAAAATTGACAAAACAAAAAGTTGGTTCTTTGGAAAAAAAAAATTGATAAACAATTAGCCATGATAATGAAGAGAAGAAGAGAGAAAACTCAAATTATTAACATTCGTGATGAAAAAGGAAATATTATAATTCACAATAGCTAATCTGTGGAGCCAACCTAGATGTCCTTCAGTGGATGAATGGATAAAAAAAAAA